TAAGGGGCTAATGATAAATATCATAAAGCCTGCCATTTGATACAAATAAATCTCTAATGTTTCCTAGCAGACAAACTTGGACTACGCTTCTTTTACTTTAGGCAGCAAGTCAACGATCTCCTTTATCTGTATGAAGGCGCCTCCGTTCTTAACATCTTGATCGTTGTACGAAACAGTTGTTGTGGTCTGTGCGACAGTGGGTTGACCTTCAAATATCAATTATAACGAAGTAGTCTTTATTTAATCTATTCAGGGCCTTGCAGGCCAAGTACTACAGCTTCCACTTTACAAAATCTACAGGGCTTAAGTTAAATGTGGATCGACAGTCAGCCTAAAGTAATTGCCAAAAGTCTTAGGTGGAGAAATCACGATGAACGACTTACTTGGGAACAAAGGAGGTGGCAGTTCAGGCATTCTGAGTTTTCTCTCATCGAAACTATGTGTATCAATCTCATCTAAAAGTGAGAGAAGTCGAGACAAATACAACTATAACAGCAATGAATCAAAATAATAAATTTGATGAAAAAAACCAAGAATATCTGCGTTTTGAGAACGTCGATCTCGACTTACCTGCTTTCTCTGCATAAGGCATGACATATTCTCGAAGATCTTTGTCTGGGGAGATCTGGGGAGGGGTCTTTTTCCGCCGACATCGCCAAATAATAACGCCGATTACCAAGCCTAGAAATGGATATGAAATCACGGGGAAATAAAGTTAGATGAAAAGCTCTTTCCCAAGGGCAGTGATCATTAACGATTTTAAGCACTCCATTTCCGGAAGTAAAAGAGAAGGACAGTTAAACTGTTACGTGCTGGAAAGCCTCCTCGTGATTAATGTCTTCCGGAAATTTGAGCAGATGAGTTTCTGGAATTAGCAAAATGACAGTGCATTTTCTTCAACTTGAGTTAAGTAAGGATAGGATTCATTTCACTTATTCCTGTTTTTTGAGATCAGAGAAATTTTTAGTGACAACAACAAAGCTACCGACACCCATACGTTTAACTAATTTAAATAAATCAACATGCTTGCATGGTAAACAAGACAACTTTTTATTTTAGATTTCTGAATAAAAACACAGCCATCACTGAACAGTAACTGCCATGGCATAAATAATAACGAAATTTTGGCCTGATAATTAAAACCGTAGTTTTGGAACAGGCAGATTAAATGCGACTCAAGAAGTAAAATTGGCAGCTTGCTATCAGCCAATCATCGTGTATCAATCTTAAGTATAATAAAATTAAGTCCATGTAAAACAGAGTCCAATTTCCACCAAAGAGAAGACCACGAAATACTTTTTTTAAATTTTGTATGGCCAGACAAGATAATAGCAGCTAAAATTTGACTTTTGGAAAAGAGATTCGTCGCCGAGGTGTTGGTTGAACAGGTTAGGGCATCAAGAACATTGAGTGTGTATTTGCACTTTTAATCGTAATATTTCCGTCAGAAACCTTGATGCCAGCTCCAAATGTCTGACCTTTGGAAGGTTATGCCATAGTAACAACGAACCCAATCTCTTCATCTGAAGCCAACCATCCAGATGAAATCGAGGAATGAACTATAACTTTTAACTTTTAATTTGTCATAATAATATCCAAATTAAGGGTGACCAGTGTGGGACACGTTATCGCTGTGTGCGTCATCGTATGCCTGCATGTCTGCTCGCCAGTATTGGGAGGTGCGGCCGTACAACTCTGTGTGCAGCGACCGTACAAACAGTGACCAATCATTAACCTCTGTTTAACCTAATCCCCCATCCTGACCATGAGTAGCTCCCTGCGTGTAAACTTTATCCGCAGTACTCTTACTGAATAAACGCGCTTCGTGCCACACGTCTGTTTCCTTTCATAGCTGGGCTACAGCTTAGCTGGTTCTGGGAGTCTAGCTAGATGTTGGAGAATCTGCCATAGAGATTTCTGAGTCGGTCAGGCTTTAATAAAGTAGCAATCCGCTACACCAGTAAACCATAATTAGCCCCATTAAATGATTTAACTATCTTTCTACTCAGCAGAAATATGCACGTTAAACCACTTATAGTGTACTTCTCTCAAAGATTATACAATGTAGCGAAAGTATAGATCCTCTTTATGGTATCGCAAAAGCAAAAGTACCAAAATATGCCTTTTTATTTTTTTAGATTATAAATAGAGTAAACAATTAAGATGGTTATAATTCTGTTACAGAATCAATATTTGAAAGCTAGGGCTAAGACATTCTCTTTAACATTTTGGTCACTCCTAGACGATGTGTCTTGCAGTTGAATTACTATATACACATCAAAATTCCTATCTTTAGAATGAGAGCATTTGGAGGGACGTAGACACATATTGTACTTGATAAGAATCCGACAAAACAAGACTCAGAACTGCATTGGTTACGTTATCTCGAAATGAGGCCTCCAAGTCACAAAACACCCTTCTTAATAATTGGCTACTCATCGCTTCTCACGATTGATAGTTAATAGAACAAAAATATAGAAATAACATTATTGGTAGACTTCCAGAAAGCCTCTAATTAACGGAATTCTCGTCTTATTCCGCCCCCCCCCCTCAGGGTCTGAGTCGATTTCAGTGATATGTAGTGATATTGCGGCGGAATTCAAAATTTACCATATTTCTAGTGTGTAGAAGTACCTTACTCTTCATGAAAAGCCCCTTATTCAAGTCAGAGGGAAGGAAAGTACACTGCAACTAAATAAAATTTGCAAAATAATCTTTATAGTTTGAAGTGGTCGTATTCAATTAGTTAAACAAAACATCAATTGGTGAGCCATATTGACCATCCAAAAATAGAAATTTATAGATATAAATAGATATTTACCTACGAAACACACAATGGCCAAAATGATTCCAATAAAACCCCCAACACTGAGATTTGCCCTCATAACTTCCTCCTCACAGTACAATCCAAAATGCGTCTCCGGACAGTGGCATACAAATCCTCTACGGTCAACTATCGACGGTTGACAAGTGCCTCCGTTCTGACAAGGGAATCGTGAGCAGATTGCCAAGCAGTGACAACTACTTCCAGACCCCTCAACGCAACCCGACCGGCACCTAAAGCAAATGAAAAATGGTAGGGTTGAGCAAGATGACGTGCATTATGGTTGGTTAGGGTTGTGCTTTCTCATTGGTTGGGCTACGCCCATATCGTCCTGCCAGCATATGCTAACAATTACTAGTCCACGTGCCAGAATTAGGAAGTTAGTAAAATTGATACTTACAGACACATATAACCTCCAGGAGGTTTCCAAGTAGGGACGCACGTGCGGTCCCCTGCACAATTGGCATTCGGTGGACAGGCGGTAAGATCCGAACACGCATCAAGATTGGTTCCAAAACTGCTGATACTGATAACCTGACTGTTTTCACCGGCTGCTGAAATTTCAGCCAAGCTGAGAGGATACCACTTTCCGCCAATTTGAAGATCTCGGAAACACGTTTCACCGATACTTGAATCAGCTGGGCGTACCTCACCGTTGCTAAGAGCGGGAGTATCCGGAACGAAGTCCCGTCGAGCTCCAATTAGGATCTGAAAACGGTAGAATAACGTAACTATGTGAGACCATCAATAAAAGTTTATGAATACTGCAAACGGCATAACTGCCGTGAATGCCAAATACTTATTGAATATATACCTTTAACAAGCATCCAAGTCAATCAAAACTCTCTCTTTATTGTCCTTAGGGTTTTTGATTAAGATATTGAAAGCCTGACAATGAGAAGGAAATTCGGAAGAGATGATGACGTAATGGTTTTGTGAAAAATTTTATTTGAAAACCGTTACAACGGAAGAATATTCCATTTGTATTCACAAATGAGGTTAGGAACTTATCGTTGCGTATATTGGTTAAACGAGTTTAGTCAACAGCCAAGCTCAACCAGTAAGCATGTCAGATCATTTGCCCTCTAGATCTTTCCAAGAAGAAATGAATCGAAGTCCCAAGATTAAAAGTATTTGCTGCAAACCGGTTAACGGATCATGAAATTTAAATTTCGAAACTCCTGCTACTCACTAAATACTGTACAATCTGAATTCAAAAGAATCAAATGTTGCAAGACTCTTGATAACTCGACTCTGATCTCAGTATCGTTCACATCTGTGGGACACGTTATCGCTGTGTACGTCATCGTATGCCTGCATGTCTGCTCCCCAGGATTGGGAGGTGCGGCCGTACAACTCTGTGTGCAGCGACCGTACAACCAGTGACCAATCATCAACCTCTGTTTAACCTAATCCCCCATCCTGACCATGAGTAGCTCCTGCGTGTAAACTTTATCCGCAATACTCTTACTGAATAAACGCGCTCCGTGCCACACGTCTGTTTCCTTTCATAGCTGGGCTACAGCTTAGCTGGCTCTGGGAGTCTAGCTAGATGTTGGAGAATCTGCCATAGAGATTTCTGAGTCAGTCAGGCTTTAATAAAGTAGCAATCCGCTACACATCTTCTCTCCCTTGCTAAACGCCATTCCACATAGAAGAGCTCCCCTTGTCCCTCCATGGATTATAGTGATATAAAGAGGTTGATTTTTCCGTCGAGATACGTAATACGATAATAAATAATTACCTTACCTATCAAGTATGTGACAGACTTAAAGGGAGTCAGTTAAACTGCAACTTTCATCATTTTAATCCATACCATTTATATTGCAAGTGGGGTGTGCGATTGACTTACCTCCACGTGGTGCACCCTGGGCAACGTATACTCATACGGCAAAAAAGTCTATTGACTGGCAGTTGACTTCTCACTTCAAACTACCATCACCTCACTCNCCTTTGTGTTTGTCTCTTACATCTTTGAAACACTCTTCTGTCCCCCCCCCCTGTCGACTTTTTCAATTTGATGTTTTTCCCCTCTGTGAAGCCTGAAGTCAACTAAAGGGTTAATGATAACCAACAAGACGCCTGGCATTTGATATAAATACTTTTAAGTGTCTTATATATTTTATCAATTTTCCGGGAGTACTCACTGCCTAAAGAGGATTTTTGGCAATAGACAATAGAAGGAAATTAATCATACTCAGGTTGACGTGTTCTCGAACGGCGCTCCATCATAAGGTGAGAAACCGGGTACAGCTTTTGTGGGTTTTATAAATTTTTTGATTTATTAAGAAAAGATCCGTATTTTCATGCCCTCACTAAGTAGTTTACTGACAGCTAAATGCTAGTTCAATTAAATCTTGACGGATTCTCTTTCCTTCTAAGTGCTTACACGTAATGTGATATGCACATATTTGTTGTTATGATCAACTCGATCCTCATCTTTTATCGTTATATGCCAGGCACTCATATAAGTTGATACCATCTTGCCTTCTGTAAATATACCTAAACGACCATTTTTTTAATCGGAAAAATGGGGGCCAATGTATTTATCACTTATTTCCCATCCCTCTTTGCTGTCATCTCCTTTCTTCCCACGGCATCTGGTTAAGGCAGAAAAGGGAATCTTTGTTCTAGTGTTCTCGTATCCTCAGTGCTTTTTCCTCTATCGTGTTTAGGGCTTGTTTGCACATACTATGCCCACAAATAACTTGTTGCATTGCAGTAAAGGCAGTAAAGAAGACTCAGATGTGTGGAGCTGATATGTTGCTTTAATTTTTTTTCCAGTATTTTCGGTTTTTCGAAGCTTTTTTATCCTTCCTTTGCTAATGCTTTCTTCTTTTGGGTGTCATATTTCGCGCATTGTTGCTTGACCATTTGTCAGAGGCCAATTTATTTGTCTATTCAATCGACTAAAGGATTGGCTAAGTGTTCTTATTTAAACACGATTTGGTTAGAATGATAATCATTTATTTATATCAAATGGTAGGTGTTTTGATAGTTATCATTCGCCCTTTATCCGACTTCGGGCATCACAGAGAGGAGGAGGAGGAACACCAAAGTAACAGAAAGTCGAGCGGGTTCAGAAGAGTAATTCCCAGCTGTAAAAGAGACAGATACGAAGGTAGAGNAGAAGAGCTCCCCTTGTCCCTCCATGGATTATAGTGATATAAAGAGGTTGATTTTTCCGTCGAGATACGTAATACGATAATAAATAATTACCTTACCTATCAAGTATGTGACAGACTTAAAGGGAGTCAGTTAAACTGCAACTTTCATCATTTTAATCCATACCATTTATATTGCAAGTGGGGTGTGCGATTGACTTACCTCCACGTGGTGCACCCTGGGCAACGTTTATTCATACGGCAAAAAAGTCTATTGACTGGCAGTTGACTTCTCACTTCAAACTACCATCACCTCACTCTATGCCATATTCGACTATTTCACAGAACTCACCTCACCTTTGTTCTACCTTTGTGTTTGTCTCTTACATCTTTGAAACACTCTTCTCTTCCCTCCCCCCTCTCGACTTTTTTTCAATTTGATATTCCTTCCCCTCTGTGAAGTCTGAAGTCAACTAAAGGGCTAATGATAACCATCAAGACGCCTGCCATTTGATATAAATAAATATTGCAAGTTATTTAACCTTGAAATATTACAATTCGCCATTTTGAATCGTGGAAGGGAATGAAATCGGTTGGCGAGTAAAGAGAAGCTGCGAGAAACTTCACGGTATGGGGGGGGGGTTTGCCTGTACTTGATTGCTGGTTTAGAGTTTGTGCAAACTTTGCCAAAGGTTCTAAAAAGTCAAATTTCATAATTTTTCGCCTCGATTGCCGGAAATGCTATTTTTCCCAGAATGCAGCGTGGTTTTTTTGCCACTTTTAATTCACTTTATAACAAAGATGAACTGAGCTTCTTCACTGATTGCCACTTGTATTGAGTCCAGTAACACGTGTGATGTTGACTTAATTAGCTGGTTAAACGAATAAACTTGTTCTAAAGTTGGGTTGGGGGATTGGGAAAAGGTAATGTCGCCGTTTTGGTAAATGTACACATGAGAGATGGCTGAAATTTGAATCTATCACAGAAAGTGAAGGAAAAATTGACAATGTTTGCCTGATTGTGTGGCTAAGCCAACTCAATAGTGACCGGATGGTGGAAGCGCTGGCAAATAATAATAAAATAGTACTTGGCAAATATATTATTAAAAAGTAAAAAAGGAATGGTTTTCTTTAACCTCTCGCTCCATCACTGATATTAAGTAAATACCCGAAATAACATTTCTCACTTTTCTCCCGATGGACATCTTGAGATAGTTGGAAGTTACATCAAGAGGAAGAAAAGCAGTCAATCCTGGTCCTGCACCATCGTCAAGTTCAACAAAAAGGGAGGAGAGTGATCGGAAGACTCGTACATGATGCCACGCTCCATCATTTAATTGGGACCTCGCCGGCGATACTAGAAGCGTGTTAAAGTCGCCCAAATTCACCGAGACCTCCAGCCGCGTATTGAATAACCGAATATCCATTGACGAATTACTGAAAGCGGACAGAGTTCATAAAAAATAGATATGTGTTGACTCTTGGTGATAAAATAACCAATACTTACATAAAATAATTAGGGTATGGCCCTCCGAGGTAAATCAAAGTTCCATTGGCACTTCGAGTGCGAAAGTCAAAAGTCACGTCAGTTTGAACTTGGTCAATCAACTGAGATTTTAACGTCAATTCGAGGTAACTTGGGCTTGGACCGAGCTCAACAGAGTACTTCCATTCGACACAGTTCCCTCTCTCCTCTTGGTAGCCCTGACGACATTTGCATACAGCTCGACCACTTTCCACCTCGCAAACGCCCTAGAAAGTGAAGTAAACAGAAATATTATCTTGATTAATAATGAATAGATAATATTTAATCATATAAACCAAGTGCATAGCGGAAATTGCGATAAATGGCCATACCACGTTCATACCAAATTCAAATAAGAAAGATAGATGAACACCATCTAAAGGGCTATCCACTATCAATTGAATGATATTTCATCTGTGGGTGCACGTGATGCACCCTGGGCAACGTATACTCATACGGCAAAAAAGTCTATTAACTAGCGATTGACTTCTGGCTCAAAACTACAATGGCCCAACTGTATGCCATATTCTACCACTTCCACAGTACTCATCCTACCTTTTCTCTGCCTTCATGTCTGTCTCCTTACATCTGCAAATCACTCTTCTGTTCCCCACCCCTCGACTTTCTGTTACTTTGATGTTCCTTCCCCTGTGAAGTCGAAGTCAGCTCCAGGGCTAATGATAACTATCAAAACGTCTGATACTTGAAATAAATAAATAAATAAACATTTCATCTGTTTCCCGGTGACGCGGTGACATGTGTGCTTCTCTACAAGTACGTGCAATATGCTCGGCATTCATCAGTGCATACCCATTGAAATAGCAAACAGCATTGGTTAATAACTCAGGGTGACAGAATGTGCATNGGCAGAACAGTGATTCACAGATGTAAAAGAGACAGATAGGCAGACAGACACGAAGGTGGAGAAACAGGTAAGGTGAGATGAGTACTGTGAAAGTGGTGGAATGTGCCAAACAGTCTGGTTATGGCAGTTTGAAGTGAGAAGTCAACTGCCGATTTATTGATTTTTTTGCTATATGAGTCTATGTTGATCAGGTTAGAGAACGTGGAGGCAAGCCTATCGCACACCCTGGGTATGTATTAAATAAAGATTTGGATAGGAGTGTTAAGAAATAGAAACGGTATTAGAAAATGGCAAAGTAAAAGCTTGACAAACACAGAGGCTCAATGTTTTTTGACAACAAATAGTTTAATCGATGAAATTAATAAGGCAATTTTTTCATAAACTAGGAAGATAGAATGAAGCAGAAACCAAAGGAGAAAACCATTGAGCTGATTTATGAGTTATTACATTTTTATTTAATGCTTGGAACAAGGAGTTTACAAAGACTAAACAGAAAGTATACGTATAGGAAATCTGGTTGTCCTTGGTTGAGCAAAGTGCCAGTAACTGAACTCTAATTACAGCACAATTTAAAGTGGCCCATAATTGAGGAAATAAATGTAGTCAAAACCATTTTAACATAGAATTATACTGAGGTATAACTTCTTTAACCTAGTTTCTAGCATTCCGTTGACTGAATCACAAAATGAAAATACAGACACCTTTTTCCTACATTTTATAACCGCCCGTTAAGTAACTTAGCCAATATATATACATATATATATAAAAGAAACTATATAATATGTATATCTAATATTATATTTGGCCAACTAATGTTATGCTGACCGGTTTCGCGTTAATTTATTATTCCCCAGTTTATAAAAAACTATCCTTCTGTGAGAATTAATGTACATGCAATTAATGAATTATGCCAGTGTAAACATGGAACATAATTGAATAAATAGTCATTTAGACTTAGAATTTTTAAACTTTTCACTCATCATTCTTTCTGTCTGGGTTTAATTATGTAAAAGGTCTCAGTGATGGATGCATTGGTTTGTAATTCTTGACTAAATTTCAAAAAGCCTCTTAGGAATCGAACCAGCCACAGAGATGTACAGTTTGCCTCTAGGAGAGCGCTATGTTTACAATTTTGGCCGAGATATAGAAGGTGCTATGAGCTTATTACGAAATAGACGAATTTCCGAAATGATCAGCCTCTGCATACATTTAACGCTGCGGTAGCTTGCAAATACATAAATACATAATTGACTGGGGGGGGGGAGGGTGCGTGATAGACTTACCTCCACGTGGTGCACCCTGGGCAACGTATACTCATACGGCAAAAAAGTCTATTAACTGGCGATTGACTTCTGGCGCAGTACTCATCCTACCTTTTCTCTGCCTTCATGTCTGTCTCTTTACATCTATAAATCACTCTTCTGTTCCCCACCCCTCGACTTTCTGTTACTTTGATGTTCCTTCCCCCCTGTGAAGCCCGAAGTCAGCTATAGGGCTAATGATAACTATCAAAACGCCCGCCATTTGAAATAAATAAATAAATAATTGACTGGGAGGTCCCTGCACCCACTCCGTACCTACTCGTTACACCATTTGCAACATGGCCGCACTTTCAAAACTATTCTAGTGTGCACTAGATTTCTTTAATGAACCATAATGACATAGTACGAACCGGGGGACCAATTACCTCTGTGATTCTTTTCAATTATCTCCATTGCAACAAACTGCAAACTACATGCAATTNTCTTTTCCTACCTTTGTGTCTGTCTCTTTTACGTCTTTAAAACTCTCTTCTGTTCCCCCTCTCGCTCTCGACTTGTTTCACTTTGATGTTCCTTCTCCTCTATGAAGCCTGAAGTCAACTAAAGGGCTAATGATAACTATCAAAATGCCTGTCATTTGATATAAATAAGTAAATATTAGTTAACATTAATCCTTTAGCTGACTTCGGGCTGTGGGCAATAGACTTACCTCCACGTGGTGCACCCTGGGAAACGTATACTCATACGGCAAAAAAGTCTATTGACTGGCAGTTGACTTCTGGCGCAGTACTTATCCTACCTTTTCTCTGCCTTCATGTCTGTCTCTTTACATCTCTAAATCACTCTTCTGTTCCCCACCCCTCGACTTTCTGTTACTTTGATGTTCCTTCCCCCTGTGAAACCCGAAGTCAGCTAAAGGGCTAATGATAACTATCAAAACGCCTGCCATTTGAAATGAATAAATAAATATTTGAGACTGAAAGACAGCGACCATGAATTTCGAACAAAGAAGAAGGAGTGGATAGCGACACTCTTCGACATAACCAACTGGCCAAGAATCGAAGCTGTTTGGAGATTTCAGACTGTGCACCGGACACGAATGCCTGACGAAGCAACTTCACAGAATGTGAGTAGACGCTCAACCAACAGGCCCCCTATATGACCTTCAGGATGAAATGGAGAAGACCGACCTGATTCGGTGTTCAGAGATACTGTAAAGCCAGGAGTCAACTAATGAACTACTACAAACTGACCTAAAGCCGATACATANATGTACAGTTTGCCTCTAGGAGAGCGCTATGTTTACAATTTTGGCCGAGATATAGAAGGTGCTATGAGCTTATTACGAAATAGACGAATTTCCGAAATGATCAGCCTCTGCATACATTTAACGCTGCGGTAGCTTGCAAATACATAAATACATAATTGACTGGGGGGGGGGAGGGTGCGTGATAGACTTACCTCCACGTGGTGCACCCTGGGCAACGTATACTCATACGGCAAAAAAGTCTATTAACTGGCGATTGACTTCTGGCGCAGTACTCATCCTACCTTTTCTCTGCCTTCATGTCTGTCTCTTTACATCTATAAATCACTCTTCTGTTCCCCACCCCTCGACTTTCTGTTACTTTGATGTTCCTTCCCCCCTGTGAAGCCCGAAGTCAGCTATAGGGCTAATGATAACTATCAAAACGCCCGCCATTTGAAATAAATAAATAAATAATTGACTGGGAGGTCCCTGCACCCACTCCGTACCTACTCGTTACACCATTTGCAACATGGCCGCACTTTCAAAACTATTCTAGTGTGCACTAGATTTCTTTAATGAACCATAATGACATAGTACGAACCGGGGGACCAATTACCTCTGTGATTCTTTTCAATTATCTCCATTGCAACAAACTGCAAACTACATGCAATTGAACCTAGAGATTTCGGGGATAACATGCCTTTAGTAGTTAATATCTTAGTGCTTTGAGATAAGAACACCCATTTAGATAAGAGAACATGATGCGCTTGGTGACAAAGGAACTAGACACACCCAACTCGACGTATCTCCACGTGGTGCAGCCTGGGCAACGCATACTCATACGGCAAAAAGTCTATAAACTGACAGTTAACTTCTGACTTCAAACTATCATGAACCGACTCTATGTCATATTTACCACTTTACAGTACTCACCTCACCTCACTTCACCTTAACTTTTTCTCTACCTTTGTGTCCGTCTCTTACATCTGTGAATTACTCTTTTGTTCTTCCTCCCTTTGATTTTTAACGACTTTGATATTCCTCCCCTCTGTGAAGCCCGAAGTCAACTAAAGGGCTGTTGATGACTATCATAAAGCCTGCCATTTGATAAAAAAAATTTGTAGTAGAAAGTGACCGAATTGCTATTCTTACAGCTACCCATTTTACTGGAAGACATAAGAAATTGCTCAAATCCTATGCCTGATAACATAAAGTACCAATGAAGAANTCCAATTGAGAAACCCATTGAATATGACCAGTTGAATAGAATTATCCTCCTCCCTTCACCAAGATCGTTCAAAATGTGTGTCGCTTATGTTGTCGTCGGCCACGTTAGACGTATTTTCTCTGAAATCCTTTGAGATTTGCTCGTACTTCTGAACATGACAACAACAAAAACAATAATAATAATAATGGAGTTCGTTAAATAAAAGGCCAGAGGATTAAATAGATGCCCATAAAGAAAAGGAGCATTTCAATAAATTAATACATTTTCCTAATTCGTATATAATTCTCAATTTCTAGTTTAAAGTTTGCTTAGTCATTGCATGTCTTCCAACCACTGCATTCAAACATGCCCACAACCACTGAAGGACAGGCTACTACTCACGGGCACGCTCCTTCGTCCATTTCTAGTTGCCAAATGATTTTTCCATGCAAATTCTTCAAATGTGACAGCCTTGGCAATTTAGTCGGCAAATCCCGCTTTGAAACCGGATGAGGTGGNCATACAGCTCGACCACTTTCCACCTCGCAAACGCCCTAGAAAGTGAAGTAAACAGAAATATTATCTTGATTAATAATGAATAGATAATATTTAATCATATAAACCAAGTGCATAGCGGAAATTGCGATAAATGGCCATACCACGTTCATACCAAATTCAAATAAGAAAGATAGATGAACACCATCTAAAGGGCTATCCACTATCAATTGAATGATATTTCATCTGTGGGTGCACGTGATGCACCCTGGGCAACGTATACTCATACGGCAAAAAAGTCTATTAACTAGCGATTGACTTCTGGCTCAAAACTACAATGGCCCAACTGTATGCCATATTCTACCACTTCCACAGTACTCATCCTACCTTTTCTCTGCCTTCATGTCTGTCTCCTTACATCTGCAAATCACTCTTCTGTTCCCCACCCCTCGACTTTCTGTTACTTTGATGTTCCTTCCCCTGTGAAGTCGAAGTCAGCTCCAGGGCTAATGATAACTATCAAAACGTCTGATACTTGAAATAAATAAATAAATAAACATTTCATCTGTTTCCCGGTGACGCGGTGACATGTGTGCTTCTCTACAAGTACGTGCAATATGCTCGGCATTCATCAGTGCATACCCATTGAAATAGCAAACAGCATTGGTTAATAACTCAGGGTGACAGAATGTGCATTTCCCCCCAGAGACGCTTAATTATGCTAAATTGAGATGAGTGCTGAAAACACATTGTAAAAGTGCCTTGGGAGTTACTTATGGATAACAAGTAATACAACTGGTGACTTAATTTGGAAGCTTATGTTGAGTAAAGTTGTTTTAAAAGCGATACCAGCCCAATATCAATCAAGAATATAAATGCAGAGATTGAAATGAATGCGCACAATAGTAAAATACAAATATTTTCCTTTTACAGGCGAAATATTTATTCAAACGAAAGTGAGAGAATTATTAATAAATTATTAAACAAAGAATCCACTACTATTTACCCATAATCAATAAAACTTATCGTTTTTCATAACAGTATGTACGAAAAATGGAGGGCAATCAACTTAATAATTGGATCTTACATTTGGAGCACATTTATCCTGGCCTTTTTTATTGAGACAAACTGGCGGAGAGGGTAGAGCGTTCTCACTGAGTCTCCCCCACTGCGCAAGATTCCAGAGTTCGCCGTTAACTAAAACACGTCGAAAGGCGCTGCCAGCAGGAAGGGAATGTGTAGTCAACTGCGATGGATAGAGGGAATTAATATTGGCAACTTTCCGACCTCCTAATTGAAGAGGCCATTGATCCACATTGAGAGCCCGATCGACTCCGAGATTGTGCGAAAGAGTGAAGAGGCAATCAACCAAACTTGGAGGATATTCCAGACCATTAATTTGAGACACTCCCTTACTTTTACCGCAGGCGTCAACCATTAAAGTTACTTCGGTGCTAGCCTGTAACACGAAAAACCAATGATTAAGTAGTTATTGATTCATCTCAGAGACCTTCTACTCACTGAAGTATTTTAAATACTGGGGCTCAGAAAAACATCCTATTTGTGACTTTAAATCGGCGTAATGTTAAACGACGTCTTGGGCACATAACGCTCAAAGACTGTATTTTGCTCTGTTTCTTTGAACTTGCTTCATAAATTACCGACATAATTCCACCTGGCTTTTCCTGTTGGAAAGTACTTAAAATAGGTTTAAGTTGCTCTCAATGTGACCCAAAGAATGTGATTATTGCAGGAACTACTTACAAAGATCCAGCCACTAAGCTTAGTCGCATCAGAGAACCGGAAGATTAGTACAACCGCCCCCATTAGCAACTATTGTCATGTGCTCACCTGATTGGTCGGTCTGTGCTCTTACGGAGAGGTGAAGCTATTTCCAACGCCTCAGTGTCAAAGGGCTTGGTGGTCTGCGGTAACTTTATTACTACAAAGCGATGGGTTTGTTACGACTATCTCATATCGCATTCATTGTTAATAGAACAAGCACAAATATTAATGAATCTCCCAGCCCGGTAGATGTCATGCAGCCGATAATTAAGTAGGACTCACAATTCTCGATCACAGTTGTCACTTGCACAGAATACTCAAAATATTTAAAACAAAGAACTTTTATTCAAAATATCGTCTGCTCACCAATTTTTGCCTCAACACAATATCAATTTGGTGCCAACCGCCATCATCCAATCGAAAATTGGCAGTGTAAGTAGCCGACATAATACCACGCCTTCCTAAGCTGTAAGCCAAAGTGAGTCTTCGTCCTCCAGACTCCAATTGAAGACCAATAAAATCTGGGTACACTACAGAGGTTGACAGTTGACTAATCGGTCCAGCGTACATTATTAGACCTGGTCGATCGTTTAGGCTAGAAATCATCAATTGAAGTTGAATGTGAAGTTGAGTACAACTCCCAATACTCGGAGCCCAGGCGTAACCTTCACCAGTGAAATAGACTTGTGTTTGTTCGCAACGTCGCCCAGAAAATCCCACAGGACATTCGCAGTGGGTTGTCTGGGTTCCCGGCATGATACTAAGAGGAAAGGCGATACAGTTGAAGGAATGAGGGAAGATCTCACGATTATATAACTTTATTTCTACCTGCAAAAGCCACCGTTTAGACAAGCATCAGGACTCGAACAATCAATTGGTTGATTAGTAGGCGGAACTGGATCACCTCCGTTGCACCAACAGTCAGACAAAGTTCGTACGATTGGCCCCGAAGAGGATATTCCGGGAGATGGTTTGGTTAAGCCAGCAGAGGGATCGGTGTCTGTTGGTGTGGCAACGGTTGTCAGACGCGTTCGACACCCACGACTCTTGCACACGGAATTGGCGGCTTCTTCGGAACCACATTGAAGTTCGACGGCTCCAGAAAGACCTCGTACAACTGCAGCGAGGCCAACCTGAGTGTTAGTGGTATTAGTTCGCAGAACTCTGGTGTAGTCATCAGCATTTTGGTAAATACTGTCAATAATTCTGAAAAAGAAATGATGTACGCCTCATCTCTTACTAACGAAACAAAGGTTGCCAAGACAAATGAAAGAGAAGCATTTGGTTTGCGAGAAAAGCCCAATTTGGGGAGAATTACGGCGCTTTACACTATTCAGTATGTGATTACATTGGTGTATTCTGAACGGTTAATCTCCTAAATTGACGTGGATAAAATATCGAATGAAAGTAAGATGAGAAGATGATAGCAAAGTCATCGGGAAAATGTAGATCAATATTCTCTGGCTGATTGTGTACACAGTTTTGAGTCACTTGTAGTGGTCTAAGTTTGGTAATGTAAACTGGTATAAGTTAGAGGTAGTCACATAACCTCGCAGGATCAAAAGAAGGAAAACGCACCTGAACAGGGATAAAATGCATGTGAAAGTTGGCCACATAAACATCCTCATGGAGTTACACATCATGGACTTTTATGGTCAAAGACAAAATGCCACTCCCTCTCTCAGTTTTTATTCTTCTAAAACCATGTTTACGTCTTTCATACATTTTATAGATCGTACCCCACCCTTCCATTTACTCGTCTTATCCAAAGGTATACCTAAGCTAATACTGGCCAGCTAACTTATCTGTTAAAATAACCAAGTTTTTGACAGGACACCGACAAGATAACCAATGCTTTGTCTGGGGTTGAATCGGTAACATCTCGCAAGTGGCCATCAAGGCGCCCATCGGTCTTATCACCAATTGGTCACTTTGACATTAATGACAGTCCATACAGCTAGTCTGCGGAAAATTCTTATTGACCCATCTGTTTGTTGACCTCCAACATTCCATTTAAGGGGTGTGCAATAGACTTACCTCCATGTGGTGCAACCCGGGCAACGTATACTCATACGCAAAAAGGCTATTAACTGGCAGTTGACTTCTGACTTCAAACTACCATGTCCGAATGTATGCCATATTCGACCACTCTCACAGCACTCATCGTACCTTTTCTCTGCCTTTGTGTCTGTCCCCCCCCCCCTCTCGACATTTTACCACTTTGAAGTTCCTCCTCCTCTCTGCGAAGCCCGGAGTCAGCTAAAGGGCTTATGATGACTATCAAAACGCCTGCCATTTGAAACAAATATATATGTGTATATATATATATAGAAAATAAAAACTTGTAAGCGTTTCTTACCTGCCCGGAACTTCGTAGGGAGATGAATGAACTCCAACAAAAACATTAAAGTCCTCCCCAATTTGTTCAACTGGAAATATCGCAATTGCGTCCCTGCTAATTCCAAGCCGTTTAG